ACCGAATGATTCCACTGCATTTCACGTAGACTTCCCTTCCAAAATGTCTTCTAACCCTGCCTGGACTCAACTCTCGACCCTCAACGTGGACATATTGGCAACAACACAAGTGGCCTCTGCCCTGCACTGGCATTTGTGAATTTGAAGCAGAGTGTCTTCGAATATCGTTTAGAGTGTTGACGAGACAGTGAGATGATATTGAAATTGCGTTCCAGTATGGATGAGAAAACTTTTGGGGATGCAGGATAAAGTGAAATTTTGTGGTAAAATTTAAGAACCGGCTCTTTACTCACTTTTAGCGACCAAGGAAGTTCAAATTCTTTTTCGCGCACTGCGTAAAGTTGTTAAACAGAATGACAATGGCCCGAATAAAAGTTGTACAAGAGTGGACAACAATACAGCCAAGTTTCTCTTAATTCCTATTAAATTCGCCTTAACTCCCGGAGTCCACAGTCGCTTGGGCCGTAGTTGGGCTGAATAATGACCCATAAATTCCAGTCTGCCGTTTTCTTCTGTCTTTCCATGATATCTAACTTAGCAGGGGATTTAGGCAATTCGAGGCTGCCTGTACCATCAAAATGGCAGTCGGCCGGATGAAAATGTGGTGCTGAACTATGCTGGCTCAACTTTATCGCTTTCTCCACGGCCCGGTCTATCCGCGCCCCAACCGACCGCAAACACTTGCTCTTGTGGCCAGGCGAAATTGTTGCTGGTGACCTTAGTCCTGCAGCAACCATCGATCCGTGGTATTGTGCTTAACTAGTCGGGAATCTGCCATCACAGGTTCAGTCTGGAGAGGAGGCTGGAGGTAAGGTGATGGGCTGCAGGCCGAGCAATTGTCAGTTCGGCCCGGTGTGGCGGTTCTACAATCCAGGCCTTTCGACGTAAGCTTAGAGTTTCAAATGACCAGACAGATCGCCCACCACCGACCCGGTCAGCATTCCATGCGCATCTACAATCTTGGTCTACTCCTCCCTGGGCCTATTCGCTCCTATCGCTCTGCGCCATAAACACACCCAAATCCAGCTTGTCCAGAGTGCAGCCCATGTGTGCCCAGGCCTAAGTAAATCCATTTAAAGAAAACGCACCATTTACACACTCTTCAATTTCCCAATAAATAAATGAATCCGTAAATCATTTAAGCAATACTTAATTCAATTATATGAGATGTATTCGCCCAATTTCGTATTAAGGTGATGAAGAACTGGTAGAAGAATATTCCTAGTCCTTCATCACCTTACATGAATGGTTAGATAAGCATTTATTCATAGGCATCTTATTAAAATTCTGCATAATTCTGTTGACTAAATCGCTTACACTACCCATCCGGTAGGTATGCGTGTTGCCAGGTGGCTGCTTGCCAAATTGAGTGGATGACTGATTAAATGGTGAAGTGAATAAAGTATTTTTCGCATTTAAGCATTGTTTCGAGACTATCAGTAAATAAGTAATATGTGATGTATTCACCAAATTTCGTATTAAGGTGATGAAGAACTGGTAGAAGAACATTCCCAGTCCTTCATCACCTTAAAACGAAATTCGGTGAATACATCACATATTACTGATTTACTGATAGTCTCGAAACAATGCTTAAATGCGAAAAATACTTTATTCACTTCACCAATTAATCAGTCATCCACTCAATTTGGCAAA